GTGGGAATGTTAGTATTCAGATTATCAAATTTGATTCATGATCAAGAAAATGACCATGTTGTCTTTAATCCCTTTTAATTTAATGAAGATGTTCATACATCTGCTACGAAATGTTCAGTATATGCTCTTGTGTAGCGTGGTTCATATTGTAAATGGAAATGGGCACCGCTTATTCTTTCTTCTGAGGATGCGTAAGATCAGGATTTATTTGTTTTAATTAGGGATAATGTCATTCATAAAACATATTCTGTTTTTAAAGCTGCATTTCCTAACTTTTACAACACATAAACAGTGTGTTTATTCATATCTGGTTGATGTTGTGATTAATTCAGACCAGATCCTGCCGCTTTCATCTCTTTGGAAAACATTCTAGGAAAGTGATGAGCGACGGGATGAGATACAATCAGTTTCCTCCGCAGAGTGTCTGTCCCTAAGTTAGAGATGAGAGGGTGAGGAGCACAGTCACTTAGGAGGAGACTAAGGACACAACATTTTGGTAATGTGAATGGGCAATTTATTTATCCCTGTAGGGAACTTTGTCCTCTGCATTTGACCCATCCTGGAATGCCTCAAGGGCCTCTGTCAGGAGTAGTGGACACAGTAGTACATTGCCCGGGAACCCATCCCCATGTTAGGATTGGTCAGGACTACCAAAGCTGGAGGAATTACCAGGAATTATTTTAGTGGCAGGGGAAACCGGAGCATGTGGAAGAAACTTACACAGATAGAAGGAGAACATGCAAACTCTACTCAGAAAGGCTCTGTTCCGACTGGGATTTCAACGCTGGACTTTTTTTTGCTGAGAAGCGGGAGTTCATTACAGTGCAACGATGCCATCCATTTTTTTTTAGAATGACACATAGAATGACACATTACTAACCAGGCCCTACCCTGCTGGCTTTCACATGCAGGTGGGGCCAATTGTCATTGAAATCCACAGATAATCAGAAGTGGGTTCCCCTCTTTGAGAAACATCCATCTTCACTCCATTATCCGAGTGATTTACTTTGGGACAGAGAGAGCCGCTGTTCCCTCAGAACCCAACAGCATACACCCCCCGTGTGTATGCGTGACCGGAATCTCATCACGCTCGGGGGATGGATGGATGATCTGTGAGCGAGTGAGAGGCTAATGAAGGCGTGTGCGTGGAATCCAAACCCTGCGCAGCCATCGATTTATTTCAGGAACAAATAAATGATCTCAAATCTGTTTCCAATGCGAGAGACGAGATTTATGTGCAGCAGAGCGACGAGAACGAGAAAAGAGATGTCCCAGTCGTTTTGTTTTTCAGGAATCCTTTATATCTTGTACAAATGAGGAGGGTGGCAGATGTTTTTGTAATTACTTTTACTGTTTAACTATTTTCTATTCTTCATTTTTTGTTTTGGAAGCCCCAAGAGTGAAGTAGGAAGGAAGACAGACACGTTATATTACGTTATATTCTAAACCGTGTTCTTGATCGGAGAAAAAAAAAATTCAATAACTTAAAGAATAGATCTGTCGCAATGTAGAAGTAGTCTTGGTCCTCGGACTAGTCTGGGTCTGGTCCTAGTCTGGATCTTAGTCTGGATCCGGGTCTGGTTGTGGTCTTGTCTGAATCTGGTTTAGGTGTGCGCTGGGTCTGAATCTGATTTTGGTCTGTCCTGGCTCTGGTCTTGGTCTTGTCTGGGTCTAGTGTTAGTCTGGGTAGGGTCTGGTTTTGGGTTTCTTTTTGGTCCAGATCTGGTCTTGAACTGGTTCTAGTCTTGGTCTTCGAATGGTCTTTGTCTGGTCTAGACGTGTGAGTCTGTTCCTGGTCTGGGTCTAGTCTAAGCCAGGGTTCGGATCTGGTCTAAGCCTGGGCGTGGTCCTGGTTCTAGACTTGTCTTGGTCACGCTTGGTTTGGTCTTAGTCTGGTTTGGTCTTGGAATTATTATCTGGTACTGGTCCTGCTCCTGGTCCTGCTCCTGGTCTTGGTCTGAGTCTAATTTGTAGTGCTATTATTGTGCTTGTTATCCAGGTCTCCAGGTCTCCAACTACATCACTCTCTCACCACTATTTTTCAAATAATTCCGACTCAAAACATTTTAGTTTCATCATTTTCATATCTTTGGCCTCGTTACATCTTTAGCATCAGCTTTTTCACACAGAAAAGTGAAGAAGAGAGGACCACCCTCACTCAGCCAATCAGCTCTCAGCCCCGAAGCGTCAAATAGTCGCAGGGCTCTAACTCGTACACTAAAGATGACATGTTTTCTTCTAAGATAAAGAAAACATATGGTCTGATTTGTTCACAACATTTTACTTGTTACACTTTCTGTTGGGACAAGTACAATTATTTACTGTATGTTCTCTGCGTTATAGCATTGAATTGCAAAAGCAAAGTGCCCAAAGCACGGCAAGTTTATTTGTATAGCACAGTTCATACAAAAGGCAACTCAAAGTGTAAAATACAATCCTTCAGTTGTACGCACAGCTAAACAGAACAGTTTTTAACCTGGATTTGAACATTGTCCCACATTTTCAGGAAGACAGTGCCAGATTTTGGTTGCATAAATCTGAAATACTGCCTCCCCATGTTTAGTCCTGACTCTGGGCACCAACAGGAGACCAGTCCCTGTGCTCCTCAGAGTCCCAGCAGGAGGCCAGTCCCTGTGCTCCTCAGATTCCCAGCAGGAGGCCAGTCCCTGTGCTCCCCAGAGTCCGAGTTGGTTCATATGGCACAGATGTACTTTGGTGCGAGGCCATGGAGAGACTTTTACACAAACAGTGCTGCTTTAAAGTCTATTGTCTAATTGTATTTGTTGCCTTGTTATACTGTATTTTTGAATGATAAAATTTTGACCAATCGAACTCTAAAGACAAAAACTCGAAAGCAAAGTATAAATATAATGAATAAAATCTATTCTCTGAGCCACAAAAGCCAGTTCAGAGACCTGAGACCTGGAATAATGTGGTTATTTACATATGTGGGTTATTTTCACAGTGTAATCTAATGGTATTCTGTTGTCTTTTATTCAACAAATGTGCTGTTATGAATATTCTGAGAACTATTTAAACTGAAATAAATGCGTGTAACATCACAGTGACCCGGAATGTTCCGATGATGGACGCTGGATTAAGTCACAACAAGACAAAGACGAATCAGGACGTTTCATGAATATGAATGTTCCTCCCTCTGTGTTTAAATAACGGCCGCTTTGAGTTATTGTTTATTTACAAAGAGTAATCGTTGGCAGATTTGTTTTCTCTGGAGTCGAGGCTAAAACATTGTCCCAACATTAAAATATAGATCTGTATCTTGTTGCTCTGATTTGAACTTTCATATTTTAAAAAGTATTTTTTTTATGGAAAGTGAGGACATTTTCTTTTACACATAAATTGTGAAGGTAATTTCACTAAAGAATTAGGTTTGTGGCATGAGCTTGGATGTGATTTACCCGGAAGGAGTGGTCTTGGTCTTTTCTCGTCTGTGTCTGATTTGGGGTTGGACTGGTTCTAGTCTTGGTCTGCTTTGGGTCCTGGTCTCGGTCTGGTCCTGATCTGTTCTGGGTCTAGCTCTGGTCCTCGTTCTGGTTTGGGTCTGATTTTAGTCTGGCTATAGTCCTTGTCTGGGTACGGTCTGGTGTTTTTTACATTATGAAGGTAATTATGTTTATATAACAAAAAAGTTTTTGTTTTTTTAACTTTTCTTTCATTATTCTTAGCTATGGATCCTGTGCTTGCATGTGAGTCCCTAATAAAGTATAAATGAATAAATAAAAATAAATAAAATATATACCATGAGTTTGGATGCCTTGGATGAGCTCATATCTATGAAGATTTTTTTGCAATTAAAGTTTCTAGTTTTGGTTCAATCCAAGCCAAAAGAAATTGAACTCACAGGTGCAGAAGACCTCAGGTCCTTGAGACCTACTTCACAACTCCCACTGATGACTGCTGTCGTTGTGTCCATGGGCAAGACACTTTAACCCACTTCGCCCTAAAGCCCCTGCTGAAAGATCAAGGCTCCTGTGGACTCACCACCTGCAGGAGGATCAGTGAGGGGCAGGTGCTATGTGTACTGGGTGCAGCTCTGACTGCCGTCCCCCTGACCCAGAAATGGATTAAGGGGAAGAAAATGGATGGATGGATGGAGGTGCAGAAGGCTATAATTGAAGAGAGATATTCCACTGATTTTTTATTCATTTGTTTACAATCTAATTAAATGTTGGGTTAAAATGTTAGAATACATTGACACTCTGGTTTCTTGAGATATGGCACCCATATTAAGATATTGTCATCAATGCTACAAGTGAATCATAATATGTGATAAGAAATGTAAAGTCTGAATTGCAACTACTGTATTTATGGTTCTTATATCCACAAAAACTGCTTGGTAAAAAATCCAAATGGAGCTCTAAATCAAGAGCTTTTCAGGACTATACTCTATGCTGTAAATAGCTCAAGGCTTTGTTATTTCCGTAGCACACAGAGGAATACAGAAACAGGGAGAACATGCAAACTCCACTCAGAAAGGCCCCCGCACTTCGGTTTTCCCAAACACTAAAACATTAAAATGCACTGTCCCATTCAGTGAGTGGATAGCACTCTCGCTTCGCAGCAAGAAGGCCGTGGGTTCGAATCCCGGTCGCAACAGAGCCTTTCGGGGTGGAGTTTGGATGTTCTTCCCGTGTCTGCGTAGGTTTCCTCCAGGTGCTCCGGTTTCCCCGACCACTGAAAACATGCACAATAGGTCTGAATGTAATGATGGGGCTTTGATGCTCCAGTGTGCTCGGTGTCTCGCTTCCGTCGTCCTCGTAGAGAGAATGAAACAATATCTGAACTCTTAACAGTGTGAAGCGCTTTGGGTGAGCTTGGTCTGTTAAACATGAGAAGACTCCACTTCTTCTTTTCATGGAATGTATTACTGTTGTACACATTCCATGCTGGATTATTGTGATGTTTTGTTGAATTACCATGAAAAAAGGAAACAAAAGTAGATAAATATTCTGTAATAATGGTGTTTTTCTCGTGTCCAGGTGAGGGCCAGCGCCATCGCTCAGGACGCCGACCAGAACTACGACTATGCTTCCAACAGCGTCATCCTGCACCTGGACGTGGGAGACGAGGTCTGTGTGCAGCTGGACGGAGGCAAAGTCCACGGAGGAAACACCAACAAATACTCCACCTTCTCTGGCTTCCTCATCTACCCAGACTGAGCCAGACTGAGCCAGACTGAACCAAACTGAGCATAAGGAAATAACTGGTTTCACGTGATATAGCTGTACATTGTAAAGAACCTCCACCTCATTCTTATGATCACTGCCATGAGTTTTATAAGCATTTTTCACCAGTTTCAGAAACCCAAGCAAAGTATTCAAATCTGCCATAGTAACTTAAGCTGGGGTTGCTGACTTTGGGTGTAGCTAACTTTGGGTGTAGCAAACTTCTTAATCCCAACAGAAAGACAAACAAACCCAAAAATCAGACCACAACATTCTCTCTTCATCTTCTTAAAAAATATGTTATATTTTGCATATCAGTAAGAGAGCGCCCTGTGAGTCACTATTTGAGGCTTTGGGCTGAGAGCTGATTGGCTGCGTCAGGGTGGTTCTCTCTTTTTCAATTTCCTGTCTGAGTAAGATGATCTAAAGATGCGACAGAGGCCAGAAAAAACATGCATATCAAAACTAGTTACATGAATTTTGTGACATTTGTCTTTGTTGGGGTTTCAAAGTAAGGGAACTCCAGCTCTAAGTACCTACATACTGTATATGGGTGTCAAACTCATTTTGGTCGGGACAAAACGGGACAAAACATATAATAAATATATATATATATATATATATATATATATATATATATATATTCACTTTTGTTTTTTTGTCTTTTGACATATGAACGAGTTTGGATATTATTTTCTAGAAGGTTTGGATTCAACCACAACTGGGCCAAATATCAAGAAAAGAAGTATTGGAAGGATGAGCGTTATTGATAAATAATTATTAGATAACTATATCTTCTACTTACATTTCAGATTCAATTATATGATTGTTTTTCCAGATGATAGGCCTTCAAATCAAGTATAAGATGCCATAGTTATGCCATTACCATCAATGCTGCAAGTTACTGTGATAATGATAATGGAAAATCATTTCAGGGGCCACAAAAAATGGTCTTGTAGGCTGGATTTGACATGCCTGCCTAAGAATATCACAAAGCAGTGTCTCAAATGAGAAACTTATTCCCAGAGTTGAAAAATTAAGTAGATCTGGGACCCGCATATCAAGTAGTACTATATTTTCAGTAAATTTCTTTTTAAATTATTTTTATTCTTATTCACATTGCACCTGTACATCCCTGTATCTAAACTTGTGAATATGCCTGTACGATATACAAATATGTGATATAGAGTCAAATTCAAATATTCTGTTTTGGGCGCCTGCTGGACGGCTCCTGGACGGCTCTCCGGGAAGTTGTTCCGGGCATGTCTCACCAGGAGAAGACCCCCGGGAAGACCCAGGACACGTTGGAGGGACTATTGTCTGATTCCCCCAGATGATCAGGAGGAAGTGTGTACGAAGAGGGAAGTTTTGATGTTTCTGCTTTGACTGCTGCCCCCACAACCCGGCAACAGATAAAGTGGAAGAAAATAGATGGATGGATGCCTCTTACACAATCGTATTTTCCCAAGTGTTTGTATTGAGGTTATAATTTCATTGATTTTAAAGCTGCTCTTTGTAACTTTTCTGTGTGTCCGCTGCCTGCTTGTTTCCATGGAGATGTTATTGCGTTTATGTGGATGTTTCGCAAGAGAGCATTAAAATTGTCCATTTAGGATTTTGTTGTTGTTTATTTTTGGCATGAAACAAAAGTACACTACAAAAGGATGGCACTGGTTCTCAAACAGTCGCTTCGGCGCTACGTGACATATTCATATTCCCGCCATCCCGCGATCCTGATTGGTTCATTATTTGTTGCTATCTTGAAGGACTTTGCATTGCCCTCGATCCCAAATCCTTGTTTACAGCTCAACAAAACGCCTCTGGTGGAGCATGGCGGAACTACAAGTAGAGTCAGGTTCGAGAGGATCCACCATCGACATTAACGTCAAGCTGTGCCGTGATAAGGGCACGTTGCCATGACAGCATTCTAAAAAGGCAAGCCTAACGCATATGATTGACAAAGAAAACAATAAATTCCATTTAATTGTGTATAGGCCTTAATCACAACAGCAGTCGGCTCGAAGGGGATACAAAACTTGGGATCAGAGAATCAAACAGTTCAAAAGCAGGAAATAATGTAATAATTAGTAAGGGTAATGACCACTGACCATAAATGTCCCGGATCATCTCTGTCTTAGACCCTCCTGCATCTGCAAGGAACCAGTCAACTAATCAGCGAACAGCAGACCTGACAATACTGTAGCTGCACGTCTGTAAAGTTGTAGTAAGTAACCATGGCGATAGGTATGGAACTAATCTGGGTCCATTTTTCTTACTGTTGTGAGGCAGGACCCAGCTCTGTGACATCAGTGTGTATTTGTTGTATCCCGTGCACCACTCCTCTGTTCTCGTCCCGTTTCAAGACTTCAGGAGGATAGGTCCACAAGTTGTTTGTGTGCTTTGGTTCATTTATTAAAATGAACCGGTCAACGCCGCCATTGCCGCCATTTAGGCTCTTGTCTCTGCTCTTCCAGTTCTAAAAAACGAAATCAAAACAGGACAGCAGTTAGACGGTCCAACTCTGCAAATCTAATTTCTGTTCCCTGTAGAAATCAATCAACCACATTAATCGACTCTGACGTTATTTTTAAACTTGCTATGCTTAATGTCAGATCTCGTTGTAACAAATCATTTTTAATTAATAATTTTATCACTTCTTATGATCTTGATTTTATGCTTATGGCTGAAACATGGCTGGACCAAAATACAGGAAATGCAGTTCTAATAGAAGCAACACCACCCAATTTTAAATTCGAATCCGAAATACGAGAAAACAAAAGGGGGGGAGGCATAGCTGCAGTTTTTAGAGAGCACTTTGTCTCCCATAGAATGCCCCTTGGAAATTTTTCATCGTTTGAGTATATTTCTTTTAAAATGGAACAAAAGCAATCTTCTACTCTTTTCATTGTCCTGTATAGGCCACCACAGTCATGTTGCGATTTTATTGACCATTTTACGGAACTACTTTCATTCGTGTGCACAGATTTTGATAGTTTAGTTATTACAGGTGATTTTAATGTACATGTTGATAATGTTGATGACAGAAATGCAAAGGAGCTGGCTTCTGTATTTGAGACCTTTGGTTTCATTCAGCACGTGAGTGGCCCCACCCACAGCAGAGGGCACACTCTTGACCTGCTAATTACAAAGGGGGTTAATGTATCAAATGTTAATGTAGTTGATGTTGCTTTGTCAGATCATTTCTGTGTATTTTTGACATGTGTTTTGCTAGCAAACCACCAGCTGAATCTACAATTGTTAGAAGAAGACACATACATGAAAACACAAGTGAACTGTTCATGGGAATGCTAAATTTTGAGAAAACTCCATGCTCTACTGTTGATGAATTGTATAACTCTGTCACCACCAGTGTTCTGACTGTTCTGGACGCCATTGCTCCTGTGACGGTTGAAATAGTTACCAGTAAGAAAAAGGCCCCATGGACTAAGGCAGACTCGGTCAGGACACAGAAGCAAGAGTGCCGGAGGGCCGAACGGAAGTGGCGAAAGTCCAATTTCCAGGGCGATTATGAAATCTTTAAAGATGCGTTGGGTGAATTTAACCGGGTTCTACGTAGAACAAGAGAAATGTATTTTTCTGACATTATTGGAGGTTGCAGTAACAATTTTCGTGTTATGTTTTCAACAGTTGGTAGATTAACGAACCCCCCTGTAAAGTTTCCCCTAGAATTTTCCTCTAAATCTAGGTGTAATGAGTTCGCACAGTTTTTCGATGACAAAGTACAAGGAATCAAAAACACTATCACCTCCACAGTACGTATAACAATGCAACAGCCAGAGAAGCTTTTTGAGCTAACTCACTTTGCACCTGTGGATACTGAAACTGTCAAAAAGATAATCATGAGTCTGAGCTCCTCCACATGTAGCCTGGATATATTACCCTCTAAATTTCTGAAGTCCGTCCTGAGCAGTTTGTTACCTTCACTGACACAAATAGTAAACATGTCTCTGTAGTCAGGAACATTTCCTATGGCCCTAAAAACAGCAGTCATAAGACCTCTCCTAAAAAAGAGCAGTCTGGATCCTGCGGGACTTCAAAATTATCGCCCCATATCGAATCTGCCATTCATTGGAAAAATTCTTGAAAAAGTGGCCTCCCAACAACTTACTGAATTTTTAACAATGAATGATTCTTTTGATATGTTCCAGTCTGGGTTTAGACCCCACCACAGCACTGAGACCGCTCTAGTGAAGGTAACAAACGACATTCGACTTCACACTGATGCAGGTAAAGTCACAGTTTTGGTCATGTTAGATCTTAGTGCCGCGTTCGACACTGTCGACCATGAGATCCTCATGCAGAGACTGGAGGACTGGGTTGGTGTCACTGGCACAGCCCTAGACTGGTTTAGGTCTTACCTGGAGGATAGGAAGTACTTTGTGGAGATTGGAGACTGCGTCTCAGATCATGTGGCCCTGACCTGTGGAGTACCACAGGAGTCGATCCTGGGACCTCTCCTATTTAATCTCTACATGCTGCCGTTAGGTCAGTTAATACAAAGAAACAAAGTGTCCTACCACAATTACGCTGACGACACGCAGATCTATGTCTCACTGACTGCAGGAGAACATGGACCACTGGATTTGCTCCTTCACTGTATCCAACAGATCAGTGACTGGATGCAAAATAATTTCCTCCAGCTAAATGCAGACAAAACCGAAATCATTGTCTTTGGTCCCCAGAAACAAAGAGAGGGCGTCATTTGTCAACTTCAGTCTCTCTCCCTACTTCCTTCAGACAAGGTCAGAAATTTTGTGGTAATACTGGACTCAGACCTAAATTTCAATAGCCACATAAAATCAATAACATCAACAGCTTTTTACCATCTGAAGAACATTGCCAAAGTTAGAAATATAGTGTCCAGGGCAGACTTGGAGATTCTTGTCCATGCATTTGTCTCCAGCAGGCTAGACTACTGCAATGGCCTGCTTACAGGTCTGTCCAAACAGACCTGTAAGCAGCTGCAGTACATCCAAAATGCAGCAGCTAGAGTCCTGACAGGAACCAGGAAGTATGACCATATTAGTCCGGTCCTCAGGTCTCTGCACTGGCTTCCTGTGGCTCAGAGAATAGATTTTAAAACAGCTCTGCTTGTGTACAAGTCTCTCCATGGCCTTGCACCAAAATACATTAGTGACATGTTGGTGTCATATGAACCAGCCCGGACTCTGAGGAGCACAGGGACTGGCCTCCTGCTGGTGCCCAGAGTGAGAACCAAACATGGGGAGGCTGCGTTTCAGATCCATGCAGCTAAGATCTGGAACAATCTCCCTGAAAATGTGAGGGAGGCGTCTACTCTGTCAATGTTCAAATCCAGGTTAAAGACTGTTCTGTTGGCCTGTGCATACAACTGAAGGATTTTATCTCCATTTCTAATGCACTGTTGTCATTTTTTTTTTTTTTTTTTTTAATTTCTTGTGTAATTTTGAAAGTTTTAATGGTTTTATTCTTTTGTGTGATTTTAATGTTTTAATTGTGTTTTAATCTTTTGTGTGATTTTAATGTTTTAATTGTGTTTTAATCTTTTGTGTGATTTTAATGTTTTAATTGTGATTCTGGTGTTTGTTTTATGTGATGATTTGTGATGTGGACTGTGAAGCGCTTTGTGTTGCCCTGTGTATGAAAGGCGCTCTACAAATAAACTTTGATTGATTGATTGATTGAAAAAAAAACTTCATCAACGTTGCAAGTGAGTGACCAAGCTTACACTTTCAACCTTTTGATTGGATTGGCTCGACATAAGCCGCCAATCAGAACCTCTTCTAAAAGTTAATTACAGCCGTATGAATTGTACTTATATAGTTGGAATCTAGTGAATGAAAGAAAGAAGTTTACAAGACATTAGAGCAATTGAAGGGATAACATATTTTTGACACAAGCAGGTAATTCAATTCAGTTTATTATTCTATAGCCCTAAATCACAACAGCAGTTTGAACACAGGAAATGCAATAATAACTAACATGTAAAAGCCATTGGGACCACTATCCATAAATGTTGATAAATACACGTTGCATATCATCACTGTCCTTAGAATCCTAAATCAGCAGGGAACAACTTCAAAAAAAGTGGAAAAAAGGAGAAATCTCAAAGAGGCCCACATTAATGAGAGAAATCCAATCAAAACTACATTGAAAAGTAGTGTAATACTGTTGTTGTACAAGTTACTTTGTGAAGAGTGTCTTGCCTAATGACACAAATCCTCCTCTGATTGACTTGTTATCGGCTGCTGCAGAGACCTCATCAGCTTCTTCCTGTTAGATGGAATTCCAAGATGGCCGCTCTCCTAAATGACAACACCATCTGATAAAGACAGCAGATAGAAGATCAGGATGGATTTGGAACTATAGTGATGGTCACATGATGTAGTAATATGACCTCACTCTGGAAGTAAACGCTCCATTTATTTTCCCCAGAACAGTTTTATACAATGAAAATCTTAAAGGTTTCAGGCACAATGAAGTCTAAACATACTGCATATTCACACCTGGTCCAATAGGTTGTATTTATGTTTGAGAATAGTATTTCAGCAGGTGCCATAACAACTCAATTTCTGATAGAGTCGAGGAAAAAAAAATCTAAATGTTTTCCCAGATCATTATTTGATAGTGATTAGATTCACAAAGTCCATCCCTCCATCCATTTTCTTCCCCTTAATCCATTTCTTGGTCAGGGGGGTGGCAGTCAGAGCTGCACCCAGTCACAGAGCACCAGCCCCTCACTGATCCTCCTGCAGGTGGTGAGTCCACAGGAGCTGAGAGCTTTCAGTGGGGGCTTCGGGCAAAGTGGGGTTAAGTGTCTTGCCCAAGGACACAACGAAAGCAGTCTTCAGTCAGAGTTGTGAAGTAGGTCTTATGGTGGGCTCAAACCCATGACCTTCAGGCTCAAAGGCTAATGCTCTACCAACTGAGCCACTGTCGCCCTACGATCTTTCCAATCTACCCTTCAACATGGACGCCAGCCGCGTGCAGCCGATTAAGCTCGCCAGAGTGACCAGAGTGAGTCCTGGGCAGAACCGGTTCACAGGGACAGTGTACACAGGTCCGTGTGGAGTTCATGGATGACAGCAACAGAACCTTCATCAGGAATGTGAAGGGCCCAGTGCGAGAGGGAGACGTCCTCACCCTGCTGGAGTCTGAGAGAGAGGCCAGGAGGTTCCTGAAGCCGCAACTGTGGAGCAGAAGTCTTCGGTCGCAGTGGTCCTCATCTCGTTTGGTTGATTCACAAAGTCAATCTTTTGAATCGTATTGTACCAGGAGTGCTGACTTACATCTGTAGTCACCATATATTATTAGACAGAAACAAAAAACCCAAGAATAATTGGACAAAAACCAAAAAAAACAAGGGAGAAAAGGTTCCCAAACAAAACTCTACGGTTGATACAGTATGTGCTGCTTTTTTTTCATGTTAATTGTTCCAGGAATTACAGACAGATCTAAACAAACTATTATGACTTTATTAAGACACTGTGCTATCACATGAATGCAACCTATAGAAAGTTGGTAAAACAGTTGTTGAAAAGTGCAGAAAGTTGATTTAGCGCACTAGAATCCCAGAGAATCTAGCTAAAAAAAATCCATATGGGGAAAGATTATTTAGATTTTTACTTCCTGAAACTCGTCATTATAAACCACTTCATTGTGCACTTTTACAAACATGTAAAGTTTAGTTATGAGATGGGATATTGAAAACACGATGCATCCACAACAGGCATGTCCAAACTAAGGCCCGTTGGGCTAATTGCGGCCCTATGTGTCATTTCATCTGGCCCTCTACCTTACTAACACAGAGTAGTGTTTGAGATCGCAAACACCAGTTCACTGTGTCATCCAGCCAACTTCAAATCTACCAATACAGGCATGCTGTACCTTGTCAAGCTCAAACCTCTGGAATTCATTTCTTTGTATATCTGACAGTCGTAATTGATTGTGTTCCAAAATTCCATTAATGGAAAAAATAAAGCTGGTGAGATGGTAATTTGAAATTGAGCAAATTATAAAGTTAGAACAACCCTGAACCAGTCAAAACAGTTTTACGATCTGGGTTGTCGGCCCCTGGACAAGTCTGGTTAACCAAAGCTCCTCTTACAAAAACATGCTCATACAAAATCCACAGCAATTTTACAGAATTTTCTAGATTACTTCTATGGAATTTAGTGAATACATATCTAGTAAATGTTGTGAAAGCCCCTCACTTAAAGTGAAAATAAATTCTGACCACTATTTTCTCCTGGAGTCTCCTGGAGTAATCATCTATCAGTACAGTTGTCTGCATTTTAGGAGTGGACTGACCGAGTGTGAAGCTGATTCGAACATAAGCTAGCTGGAGCCAATTTCCTTGGAGCCAGAGTGAGTTGGAGCAAAACTTTGTCCATTAGCTCTTCCATTATGGACTTCATGGAGCTAGCGGGTTAGCATTGTCCATCTGTGTACAGTCTATGGTCAGACCTGGGGATCCTCCAGGGCTGCCCTTTGTCCCCAGTCCTATTTGCAGACACAATCTAAATCTTTAAGGTTAATTTTCTAACATTTTTACATTTTTGAATTAAGAAGCACATTGAAAAAGCCCATTACACATATTTATGTTCAGTTAAAACTTAAAATCTGACTTTACTTGAGTGACCGGCCCAGCATGCGTTTGTTTCTTCACAATGCATCCGGGGAAAGTGCGCCTATGTATGTATCCAAACTGCTCTATGTGGGTGAAATGTTGAGTTGTTTTTGTGTGAAGGTTACTTTCCTTTATGACGTCTTTTATTTTGAAAAAAAGAAGCATGACGTAATCGCTCGGACATTTTGGGTTGTGGAGTTTCCGGTGAATTTGTGGGCTGTGATTGGAAACACTCAGGACGACGTCAAAGAGGAGACATATATTACGACTTTTTTGAGCTTTTAATCATGTTACAGCACTATTCCCTCATCAGTCACAGACCTGGACTTGTGTTTAGATCCATACATGCTAATAAACACGTCAATTATATAATTTAAACAAAAATCACACCTTTCTGAAGCCACAAGTTCAAAATCCAGTTCTGTTCTGGCTTTACTGATTTTGTTTTTAGTATCAAGGAAGATGATTTTATCTTGATTTGAGCCATAACGTGTAACATGTCTTGTTTATGCTAAAATGTAAAAATACAAGCAATGACTCACATGGAATAAGACCAAAAACACTATACAAAAAAAAGGAAAAAATGACCTGTTCTATTGGCAAATATTTTTTTGAAGGAGACAAGAACAGAAAAAAACCATGTTCCAACATTGTTCCTCATTGACGAGAAAGACGAGAGAGAGATCACAGAGTGAGACCAGGGAAAGAGGCTAGAGAGAGAAACCAGTGATACAGACCAGAATGAGACAGAGACCAGAGAGACAGACTAGAAAGAGAGAGAGACCCGAGAGAGACTAGAAAGAGAGACCAGAGAAAAAGACTGGAGTGAGAGATAGAGAGCAGAAAGAGACACTAGAGCGAAAGAGAGAGACTAGTAAGAGAGAGAGAGAGAGAGACTTGAGAGAGAAACTAGAGAGAGAGAGCAACGAGAGAGAGAGAGACTAGTAAGAGAGACCAAGGAGAGAGACCAGAGAGAGGCCGTAGAGAGAGACCAGGTCGAGGGACGAGCGTGGGCGGGTCTAACCGAAGACATTCACTTTAGTCTTTTTAATCATTAATAAAAGCCAAAAAACGGCGTAATACTTCTCCTTTAAAGACGCACTGGGGTCAAATCTCTGTTGTTGCTGTTGCGTTGGTTTGTAGGTGTTTTTCTGTACAATAAATTGCTTTGAATTCCTTTTGTTATTTTGCTCAAAAATGTATCGAACAAATAAAAATATAATATTGGTTCTCATTGTGTGTGTCCTTTGAATTTCGTTCTTATGGGACAGAAAAGAAAGTACAAGATAAGCATCACATTTTCTAAATAAATAACACAGTGTAATACTTTCTTCGTTCTTTGTTTTATTCCGTTCATTTTAATTGAATCCAGCTCCAAACAGGTCTTCGGTGCGAGTCACGATTGCAGGATCAGCTGAAACACGATCTTATAATAGAAGCTAATTTAAACCGCTGTAAAGGTCACAGAAGTGAAGTGTCCGTCTGTTTCTCTCCCCTCCTTCTGTACTTTTATTTCTAACACTTTGAAAATCTCATTATACGAGAATAACGAGCTGCGTCTTTGAAGAAGAGAGTTCCATCCTCCGGTTTTCCGCTTCGTCCGTTGCCGGGTCAGCGGTCAGAGCAGAGATGGCCAGACTTCCTCTCTGCTGAGTGCAAGTGGATCCTAGGGCCAACGGTTTCATTGTTGTATTACAAAATTCAGTTTATTTGTATACTAGCACAGTACATTGACTGCCAGTCGTTTTTGATGATTTCACTGATGTTTAACACCGACAGAATATTGTGTACTTTGACAATGTGAAATATGAAACCAGATCCTGAAATACTCGACTGTTTACTTTGATCAGCAAAAATAAGTTTGGGTCCATCTTATTTTATATTCCTGTAATCCCCACTCGAATAGAAGGTAGTTTGACAGACAAATACGTCAATGGCAGTCAAAGAGTTAAAAGAATCCCGCCTGTGTGTACTGTGTAACATGCTGCATGTGTGTGGATTGTTTTTGTTTTGTTGTATGTTTCTAAATGTGAAACCCCAGTCTGTGAAAGGCGCTATACCAAGCATGGGCACACTTCTCCTGAGGAGCTCATTGGAATGTCAGGGGTTGCCGACCTAAATGAATAAAGTAGACAAGGGGATTCCAGAGGTTTGGAGCTTTACAACGAGGTACAATGCATATATTGAAGGAGCTGAAGTTGGCTGGATGACTTCTTGAACTTCTGCTCATGATCTCAAAGACTACTTTCAGTTAGCAGGCAGAGGGCCACATTTAGCCCGCGGGCCTCAGTTTGGACATAACAGTTTGAGGCAGAGTACTGGCAGGGACCATGGACCTGTAGTTGTCTTTACTGTGTATTTTGACACCAGTGACTTTCATAACTGGAACTAACATGTAAAAATCCATGGATGTTGTTTGTTCCCCACCTGAAGCAAGTCACAGCAGCGAGTGGCGCCATCTACTGGACAAAATACAAACTGAGTTACATGTAACGTGACAAGGGAGGGAAAGTACTCACTTTCAAACAAGAAACATGGAGGTTTCAATCAATGGGTATGTCAGAAACTCCAAGTCACTAGTTCTGGCTCTAAAGCAGCACTATGTCATTACTTTTCACATGTGTTTGTGGCCTCTGTGGCATTTTTCGGTCTGCTTTTTCATACACGAAGTTGAATCTCATCCCTGAATTTGGTGCAATTTGTCCGAGACTCAAGCCCCAATACTTTAAACAAAGAATCTCACAGACTCCTGACACTAACCATAATAAAAACTAAATATAGGAAACTAGAAATATGTTGGTTCGTTCCAGTGAGGTGCGGTGTGGTTTGTGATTGGGGAAGCACTGACTTTAAAAGTCAGATTGACAATCGTTATTCTAATAAAATAACATTAATTTGCCAATGCAATAACGTCCACAAACAGTTTCTTTTAATAACAGTTTCTTTTAATAATCTAACAATCTAATCTAACAATCTAAATCCAGCTGCCAGTGCTGACTCTCCGTATCACACAACATATTTTAGAACCAGGTGGGAGAAACGTGAGGTTCAAGGAGGGAGAGACGCGCGCAGGGCGTTATTATTATAATTTATAGATCCATGGAGCAGGGGCCAGGGAGAGACGTGAAGAACATGAACAAGAACTTCAACAAGTTGCTGCAGAACTCTTTAGCAGTGTTCGAATTAGTGTTTTACGGGAAAGCACTTATGCAAGCAGGATGTCAAGTAACGTTAAAGAATCTGGTAAATTTTTAACTCAAAACAACGAGATTGACAATTGCTAGTTCCTCCAACTACTTGAAACAAACCTCGTAAGTCCGACAGGCCTCCTAGTCACACTCTAAGAAATGAAACATAGGGGTTGTCAAATATGATTCATACTTTTCTTTTCAATGTATTGAAGTTGATAGCTATCTTAAAATCCTTTTTATGTTGTTCCCAGAGATAATATTGTATTTTGTGGCAGTATATGGCAATCTGTATTGTTATGAAACAATAATTTGACTATTAGACGTTATTGTACTTTCGCCAATTGCGTGTTAAATAGTAAAATAGCATTCGAAAGCTATAAAGCACACTTTTCCCCCCTCACTTTTGTTTTCACAAGTTTAACAGCAAACAAGTCATGGGGTCAAACACAAGTGTTGTGCGTGAACGAGTTCAAAAGAACGCGTTCATGGAACACGCTCATTTTTTCGTGAATGTTGAACTGAACGAATTAGTTCATTTTATGTGTCATGAACGGCAGACATCACTATGAACGTTGGAATCTGTTTTCTCTTTTGAAACGCAACGAGAGAAAGTTCCTCCCTCCTGTATTTCTCGCACTTTTTCCGCTAAAATCAAAAAATTCCTACGGTTTCCACCGTCTGTGAACGCACCCTGTGTTGCGGTGCGGCGCTGTGAGCTGGTGCTCACATGTGCCCGAGTCGTGATGAAAACACAGGGTGAGTTAGCAACAAAGTTTACACCGTTTACATTTGACATAAAGTATAGACACACGCACTGCAGCGCATTACTGTTTGTAGTTTATGAGCAGAGATGGAGCAACTCCGTTTTGCTCCCATTGAAAACCATGTAAATCTGGTCTGTTTTGTAGTCAAAAGGCTCTCCTCCTGTGGGTGTACAGGATATATATATATATATATATATATATATATATATATATATATATATATATATATATATATATATATATATATTGAAGTCAATAATTCCCTTTGACTAACGTGTCCAAAGTCGATGCAAGAGCAAGACAAGAGATCTCCAAGGTTAACATCTGCATTTAATTATCTTTACAATCAGATACAGAATATTCTACAAAAAAGTGCTCCTAAAACTAATATGTCCCTTTCTCTGGCCCTCGGCTGATCCTTCTGAGTCCTCCCAAGCCAGAGCATTATCAGTCGATGTTCAGGGAGCAGGGGGCGTGTCGTATCAGGCAGGTCTTGGGCCCAGGGTCCGATGACGTCACAGGTCTGGTCTCTGGTCTGGTCTCTGCTTAAGCAAACAATGCCCCCACCCGTGCGGCGCCTAACGTGGGGCTTAGACAAACGCAGCTGCTGCGGGGGGCTGCGGGCGGATCCATAGGTCAAAATTGCCACACATGTGTTTATTCTGGGAGTCAATAATTGTCTGGCTTTGTAAGCTGGTCCTCCTTTATGATTCCCGTACTCTCTTGTGTCCTTGGGGTTTTTCCTGAGTGCACAGAGGTCTTTTTTGGCTATGATGTCTAAATGGTCAAATATTAAAATATACAACAGTTCCCCTCTGTTGACCTATATTAAACCAATTTAGGTCACAATCTTTCAATATCCCTTCTGGGTGACGGGACTGGGGAGCTCTTCCATCATCGCCTTGGTTCTTGGTTCTGTCTCGTTATCTGTGAAGAGTTAATACAGGGAAAACAAACAACACACAACAAACCACATTTTTTAACCATTCCTTCAATACTATTTGATGACTACGGCTGTGTCATTCTGAGTCTTTATCAACCTCGTCTATAATGTATGCACTGAATCTATTCACTATAGTTTAAACTATTCTAATCCATTTACAAATATGTTTGCATCTTTGCTTTTATTGAGCCCTATTCTTAAACATATGTTTTTATCTAATAAATCTATCTATACTGTGGTTTGCTTTCATTATCAGTGGCTCTGTGCCATTTTGTGGGGCTTTGCTCATTTTTCCAAACACATTTTGTTGAACCAGGAAGTGCTGTCACTTCCTCCTCTCAGACCGTTTGGGATAAATGTACATCGTTAATCAAATTGGTATTATCCTTACAAGAGCTTATCTATTTTAGCAGGTTTCTCTGGGGTCAGTCCCTATACAACGGTATTTTGATTCTCTAATCTGTTGCTGACAAATCGACAGCTCTTAAAATTCTCAAAAATATCTAAATATCTACTTTTGTGCTCTACCCAAATACATTAAAATGCTTTCAAATGTTTTTGAATCTTTGTTGGTTCTAATCGATCTCATTAATCTATCTCATTAGCTTTTTGCATTGTCAACATTCACCTATGTTTGAAACAAGTGAATTTGACAAGTATGAACTTTATCTACTTTTGAAGTAAATACTTTTGGACATATTATGAAGGAAATGGTCCTTTTACCGCTTGATATTAACACTGGCTAAAAATAATCTCTATTTTTGAAAGCATCTATCTATTTTACACTCTATTGTGACTCCAAAGCTCGGCTGTAGCTTGAGCCAAAGCATATTCCCAATTTGTGAGTTCTGTCACTTTCAATGGCTGTAAATAATTCTGATTCTTACTCTATCTAGCTTCTCCATCAGAAGGATCACAATGTATGGTACCATTTTAACTCTTACTCCGAAGTTTGTTTATGACCAATGATCAAATACTATATACTATTTAACATTTACTAAAACGCTGAAATACTCCTACTTTATCATTTTAAACCATTTTAACAGTTGCTCAGTCTCCCCAGACTAAAAGTCAACCTTTCTGTCTGCCAGACTGAACCCTTAACATTTATTGCATTTGGTCATAGTTGTGGTTCTAATTGTAACAATTGCATTGGCAATGGACGATTTTTCATTGGCTGGTTCTTGTTCTGCCAATCACTATTCTATGTATTGTATTTCAGACAATTCCAAAAACAACACAGTCGTTCTCCAATATTAAAGACATAAATCTAAATCAAGTTGCCTGAAAGGGATTTTAACTATTTTAAAACGTTCTCTACGATTATAAGGCTATGAAATTAATTATTTAATAAACAAAAGCACATTCCTGGCTTCTGTCCACTGCTTATAACTGTTTAAAGAGTTGTCCCAAACTTAATATGTGTGAATACATCAGCTGTTTGTAATAAACAATAACCTGTTCTCCAATGGAGCAGCTCAGAGGCTGCGTCAAGAGCAATGCTATATTTGAGCTATTTTTAGATTTAAAATTGTGTTAAAGCCTGTCGTTCTATGTCTGCATTTTAATACTACTCTCTATAAACACATCAGCACTAGATCCTACAGATGTGGAAAACAGAAACATCTAAAATCTGACTCCATTTGATTCCTTTTTACTTTAGTTATTAGAACAATTTGACCTTATTGATACTTATTTCCACAATAGAACTATTTTGATTATTCACTCCTGTGGACTCACCACCTGCAGGAGGATCAGTGAGGGGCTGGTGCTCTGTGTACTGGGTGCAGCTCTGACTGCCACCCCCCTAGTGATGTGCGATTCGTGAACGAATCGTTCAAAACTCGAGATTCACTTTACTGACTCGGGAGTCGTGATTCCCCGCCTCCATTAACTCGTTCACCAACTCGTCCGCCCACCACTTTCTAAACTGCAACCCCCAGACTGCGTTTTCTACTAGCAACAATGAATGACACTCTAATATTACGTGTGTGACTGTGTGTGTGTGTACTGTAGCTCGTTTGAGCACAGAAACCAAAAGCTTATTGTTTACAACCATCTACTTCACCGTAACGTCCTCCTTCCTGCCTGCCCGCGCCTGCTAGTACGAGCCGTACGAGCAGTGAACGACTCACTGTGGTTCTGGATCAGCCCCTTCCCGCTCCCCTTCGAGTCGTTCAGCTCTGAACGAATCGTTCATCTGATCTGACTCACTCACTCACTCAGCATCAAGCGAGTCGAAACAACAGGACAGGACACCGACTCGTCTCGTAACTCTCGTTCTCTAACTGGGTTGAAAAAAGTAGTTTCTTTTGCCCCATCTGACAAAAAATAATAACCCTCTACATGTATTATGTGAGGTAGATTGAAAAATATAATTGGCTATTTATTAAGTTATTTGTTCAGCTGTGTTTCTCTCGTCGGACAACAGGAGTTCCGCCTCGAACATTATTGGCGTTACAATGATTGTCATCAATAAAAAATGAATGTGTGAAAAATATCAAAGTTGTTTGTATTTATTATTTATATAATATAATTGTTATGACCTTTTTTTTTTTTTTTTACCAGGAATGTAGGTTTTAACACGGAATACATTTATGTAACACCACATTTTTGGCGGAAAGTTTTAAATATTTTTATAGAAAATGGATAGTAGCCGCAGAAGAAGCGATATTTGGATGCACTTTGAAATAACAGGCCCATCACGAGCAAAATGTCAACTCTGTTCGTGTTATTGTATTTCTTGTATTGTGACAGCCCCTCGCTTGGAATGTTGTTGCTGCTTTGTTCACAATTTTACTGTTGAATTGTTAAATTTAAAGAGTTTATATTTTGTCAAATTAGTTTACATATTTGTTATTGTTACCATTTATCAAATTTTAATAAATGTTTTGATTGTAAATTGCCATTTTGTGTTCATGTATGTTTTTTTCTGAACAACTGAATCACTGAATCAAATGACTCAAAACACCCGATTCACTTTGGTGAGTGATTCACTTTAACTCGAGTCAGTAAAATGAATCGAACTTTACATCACTACACCCCCCCCGACCCAGAAATGGATTAAGGGGAAGAAAATGGTTGGATGGATGGATGATTATTCACTACTCTAACTATTATTACTATTGTTTATTCTGACACCTCTTCTTAGCGACTTTTCAACCTATAACTCCTCGAATCCAATGACATTATAGCTCCAGACTATTTCATTCTATTCTATTATTATTATTGTATGATCTATTATCTTAAAGAGTAGATCTGTTTGATGTTATAAGCGCTATTATTTCTCCTTTTGAATTTGCACAACACTAAATTTAGAATGACCCCCTATGGGACAAATATAGAATTTTATTCCATTTTGGCAACTCCGAAAATTACTTAATAATTTTCCCATTTTGCTTTTTTAGGCTGCCCTTTCTATTATTTATTTGTTCTTGTAAATATATGTTTTACACTTCTTTCTAATGATTTAGAAGGTTAAGGACCATGACCACCTATGACAATAACATTACTATACTCCCTCTGTTGGTCGTGGGCCAAAGTATAAAACATGCATCTGTGTGTGTGTGTAGATTACTGTTCCAATCATTCTCCAGTTGTTCCTCCCGGATCGTCCTCAATTCATATTGTGAGCTTTGGTGCCAAAGTAGAGGCTCATTTCCTCATGATCCATACTACTGTCATCCCTTAAGCAGGGGTAGTTTATCTCTCATCTGAAAAAGAAACATTAGAACACAAAAAATGCCCACTTTCCCTGGCATGGTGCAGCCTGTCAATCATTCCAATTGGACAAAACATAACGACATTGACAGACGGTCGTGTGACATCAGGGCAGAGGCTGTAGCCAAATACAGACTTAACAATATGTATGTTTCTAATTTTATACTCCCCTAAATGTGAGTTACAAACCAAAGTTGTCCTTCAACCAACGACAGCTCACTGCGGTTGGACCGAATCACTGTCAGGACAAACAGCAGAGGGAGGGGCTCCCAGTACCTTCAGCGAGGTATTCATCTCAGAGTACTTTCCGCAGAGTACTTTTCTCAGAGTACTCATCCCAGAGTACTCTCACTTTTACACCTGTTCAATAAAGCTTGTTATCTTTGAATCTCTAGTACTTACACCGTATGCTGTTGACAAAAAATAATTATTCCATGATCACATTAAAACATTACAGAAAACATTTGTTATTCCATTCTCCGTTCAGCACTCCTCATTTCACAACACACTCACATCACACTCACACAGGCCGACTCCCCAGTTAGTATATTGGTCCAGAGTTTGTTAAGGTCAACGTAGTGTACTTGACATGACACACAAACATATAACACACACAAACATATAACACAGAAGGCCTGTAATTTTAACTTTGTTATATTTTTCCATGTCCAATTACAATTGTCTCATGAGCTATTTCTCTTGTTGCAACTTTCAGAGCCTGCAGAACATGCAGAGCTTTGAGAGATTTTTTCTTAAAAAGATCCATTTCAAACTTTTAGTGTTTAAACCACGTGGTCTGTACTCGGGCTTATCACAGATTGTGTCCCCTATATCTTTAATGAGCTCTTGTTACTTTAAAATATTTTTTCCTTCTTTTTCTTTTTCAGTAAAGCCAGGTCGGATTCATTAAAAATGCAAATTAGTCTCAAACTTTAATACTTCACCTTTGTTTCACGTTCATGTGGAGAAAAGACCATTGTTTTATGTGTGTGTACTTGTACCAATCATGTCTCAGATGAACGGCCAACAGTTGTATCAAAGACATAATTGTCCTAATTGTTTCTAATTTAGCTATTTGGAAGAAAAACATGTCATAAAAGATTTCCTAAAATGTCCCTACATCCGTGTTTTCAACCAATGAACAGTGTTGCGTCAATGTGTTATCAGAAATGATCCAAAATCACCTTTAGCCAAAATTTAGAAATGCTTTAAATCATTTTTCAAACTTTAATTGTCTGAACAAACCATTTAGTACTAAATGCAGCGTCCATTAAAAGCTGCAGTTCTCTTTCTAGCACCAGTTTCAACTGTGCATGTGATTGTTTTTAAATGATTAACGAGCCACGGTTCAGAGGTTGAAAAATTGCCTTAAATATCCGTATTACCAAGATCATGCAGTCAAAATCAATAATTCTAAACTTCTCCGCGTCTATAACTTTAAATAACAATAATAGTTTCAATAATAGAGTTCCTCTACCTTAAATATACTGCTGTTCTACTCTCCTTGTGTCTCATGCTAAAGCAAGAGTCTAATTAATTTTAACGAGTGTCCTGTATTCTTTCATGCAGCTAAATGTAGTGTTATGAACGAATGACCTAGCTAAATGTGTAAATATGACTTAAATTCCATATGTCTCTGTGCGTTTGTTTGTCTGTATATATTTACCTTCTGTCTGTCTCATTTGCCCGGCCACGTCCTCCTCAAATGTCTGTTAATGTCTCTTTATTTTACTCATGGCGTCTTTCAATGTCTTTTGTCTCAAAGTGTCCAATGTCTTTGTCTCAAAGTGTTCAATGTCTTTTGTCTCAATGTCTTTTTTCTTCTTCTTTCAAGCAATCACTTTCTTTCTTCTTCTTCTTTCAATCAATCTTTCTTTTCCTTCCGATAACTTTTTCTCATAATGTCTTTTTCCTTTTCAATCACTTTCTTCTTCTTTCGACAACTTTTCTCATGTCTTTCTTCTTCTTTTTTTTTTGACGCACACCAGTGTGTGTCCTTCTTCTTCTTGTTAGATTTTCCGGCGGTTGGCGGCCTATTTTTCGCATTACCGCCACCTTTTGTTCCGTGGATGGGTCGACACTCAGTTTTGTGAAAAAATCTGCGGTCTTTTCTTTGTCTATGCTGTTAGAAATGGGGCTGGAGGAGTCTTCTTCGAGAGTTCCTGTTAGCTGCTGCAGCCGATGCTGCTGTCTTTGCTGCCCCCTGTGGGTCTGGGGGAGACGCTGATGGTCCGTGCTGATGGCGCTCGATTGTGGTTTGTGGCAGAGACGATTTTTGGCCAAATGAAACAGACAGAAGTTTTCTCGGAAAAAACAGACAAACAAGAAACACAAACAAGTGTGTTAATTACCATACAAAACCAATGATTAATTACAAATCAAAATAGACCTATGAAATAATTAATATTAACATTTTAAAAATTAAATTCTGAAAACCAAATCTGCATTCAACTGCTATCCTAAGCCCTATTTTTCCAAAAGTATAATGCTCTCTAAGATCATTCTAACTTTTATATCACCAAAATGTAGGGAAAAAAAACTTGTCCAGACGCCTTGGAGATAAAAAATAAAATAATGCCTCTTTATAATCTAACTCAAAGTTCTGTGATCCTATGACTCCATGTCAGTAACTATTAATTATCGTGTGTATAAATGTAATTTTCTACAAACAAATTTCTTTCTTCACGAGAGAGAGAGAAAGAGAGAGCGAGGAAGGGGAGAGAGAGAGAGAGAGAGAGAGAGAGAGAGACAGAACGAGGGAGGGGAGGGGCCTCCCGAACAAAGGAAACATGGAGTCTGAAATACTTTCCTCGTTTTTCTCGTGACAAGGTTTTAATCAGTGGTAAAAGTTTTTCTCACGTCAAACGACACTTTACATTTTATCCTTAAATACGTCAGTAATGGAAAACATTACCATTTGCCAGAGGTGTGGACTCGAGTCATGTGACTTGGACTCGAGTCAGACTCGAGTCATGATTTTGATGACTTTAGACTCGACTTGACCAAATATAAAAAGACTTGCAACTCGACTTGGACTTTAACATCAATGACTCTGACTTTCACTTGGACTTGCGCCAATTGACTTGCAAAGACTTGCGTAACCCGGGCCATTTTTACCTTTCTCCGCATCTCTCTTTCTATCTATGCCGTCTCTGAAGAAACAAAGCCTCGCGGTAGTTGTAGCGCTCGCGCGAGAGTTCGAACGTGAGTTCCCCGCAGTTCGCGCAGCAACACTTCCCTAAACAAGCGGACTGCATTCACCGGTGGGTGTGTTGTCTAGGGGAGCTGGAAATGAGCGAGCTGCAGGTATTTATCGCGACCTAACGTCATATTTTGTTCTACAAACCGTAATTGATATGCTTTCACTACAGGCGCCTCATACAATTGAATCGACGCAGTTGTCACACTGTGTGCCGTGTTTTAAAGAGGAACTGGTGAGTCAAACTAGCGCTAGCCTGCGCTGCTCTGTTGGCTATTTCTTATATTTTT